GAGGGATCTTGGCGTCCTAGTGGACAACCATTTAAATAGGAGCCAGCCGTGTACAGCAGCTGCCAAAAAACACAACACAGTTCTAGGCTACATAAACAGAGGGATAGAATCAAGATCACGTGAAATGTAAATACCACTTTATAATGTCTTGGTAAGGCCACACTTGGAATACGGCATTCAGTTTTGGTTGCCACAATGTAAAAAAGATGTTTAGATTCTAGAAAAAGTGCAGAGAAGAGCAACAAAGATGATTAGGGGAGAAGAACCAGGGGAGACATGATAGCAGTCTTCCAATATCTCAGGGGTTGCCACAAAGAAGAAGGAGTCAAACTATTCTCCAAGGCCCCTGAGGGCAGAACAAGAAGCAATGGGTGGAAACTAATCAAGGAGAGAAGCAACTTAGAACTGAGGAGAAATTTCCTGACAGTTAGAACAATTAATCAGTGGAAAAGAAATTGCCTTCAGAAGTTGTGAATGCCCCAACACTGGAAGTCTTTAAGAAGATGTTGGATAGCCATCTGTCTGAAATGGTATAGGGTTTCCTGCCTAGGCATGGGGTTGGACTAGAAGACCTCCAAGGTCCCTTCCAATTCTGCTATTGTATTATTGTAAATGAAGAGTTTCAGTTGTATTTTCCCTGGCCTCTGTCTGTTGAAAAGATAACCAAGATTTTTGTGTTATACTGCCACCTAGCTACCAAATTACTTCGGTGTTTTGCTTATTTTTCATGAATAGTTGCGTGAATGTGATGCCACTAGTAAAATAAGAATTCAAAATAGCTAATGTAATTTACAGCTAGGTTACGTGAATAAATCAATATATTTTAAAGAATTTAATATTAAATTCTATTCATGAGTATTTAAATGTAGTTTTCCTTCTTCATTGTATTAGAGGCATGCTTTACTTTCTAAATGTCATCACAACATATATATTTTCCTCCACACGGATATGCAAGATTTGCAAACCAGATGTAAGATTTTGAATAGTGACCATTGAATATTGAATGTTTCAAATTTATGGATTAAAATCAATGAGAATAAATCAGGTTGTACTTGAGCATCTGTCTATTCTTTTCCATGTGAATTAAAACATGCATTGCCATTCTCATTTTAGTGTATGTAATCTGCATTGAATTGCTGCTCTTTGTGATGAACATTTTTAAGTCCTGATAATAGTATCTTTTAATTTACTCTACTGAATGATAGAGTATTATGCAATATTATATGATTGTCCAAGGACATATAAGCAATTCTCAAGTACTTAAGGCTAAGCAGCTTCCAATTCCATTGCTAAGCCTTTTAGGAAAGAACATTTTAACAAAAATTGGTGGAACATCAACTGTAGAGTCCTTTGAAAGATAACAGTAAGAAGCCCCTCCCCCCTGCAAATTACCATCAATTTGAAATTTGTGACAGAACAGCCAAATATTAGAATGAAAGATAAGTACATTTTTAATTTTGATCATGCTACATATTCTCTTTGCCAATTGCTGCTACTAGACAAGAAGTAAAACCCTTAACAATGGCCATGGTACCAAATGTAATCTAAAATATGTTTTTTTTTCCAGATGAACAAGAGGATGAAGATGCTATTGTCAATAGAATTTCGTATGTATATCTCAGTAGATTTCAGAACTATGCAAATATAGCAATTCAAGAAAAAAAATTATGGTTTCGGATGATAAGCATTGCTGATTATAGTAGTTCTGAATGTTTACATTGTTTGGAACACATTTCTAAATAAAGCACAATACTAGCATCTATTTTGCATAGCTATTTTGTTTACATTTATCATCTTCTTCTTTTAATGACCCCCATAATCCCTTGGGTTCCGTCTGGGCAACTGAATAGGTGTGAGTATTTACTGGCTAAATGCCCTTCCTGTTGCGAATGCAGAGTTATATTCACAGATATATTCTTATCATGCCCAGAGAAAGAAACATCTGCCTCTACCGAGGATCAAACTCACAGCCTCCTGATCGTGAGGCGAGAGCTCCACCTCTAGGCCACTGCACCGCTCACATTTGTGTGCGAACAAAATAGGTATATGAGGAGCATATGTGAAGATAGCTTGTTCTTCCCAGGTTTAGTTTTATTTAAGGCAATTTTTTAAAAAAAACAATGTGATTTAGGTACAAAAGTTTTAATGAGAGAGTTCTAAGTTTGATGCAGATTATCTTAGAAACTCAAAAGGCTTGGAATATGGAATGCACTTCTAAAATTATTAGCCGTTTATTGATTTTTATGTAAAAATATTTTATCTATCCCTTTACCTTAATGAAGGTAGATAACAGTTCCAATAAAAATTATGTAATAGTTAAAAGAAAAATAAATAAAATATATGTAAAAAATAGTGAAAGTTCATCAGATGCCAGTCTTGTCTTTTGGAGACATATTCAGCCCTAAGTGAAAATTCACTTTTGTCCATATTCTCTATGGTCTATATCCAACGTTTGATGGATTTTTTTTTTTTACACAAATAGATTGTTGAACTATGCAGGTTCATTTGGAAATTACATATACATAATCAGTAATGTAATAATAGATGATAATGTTTAGTTTTTAAAAACTAAATCAATAAAGTGTAAATTATAATATTTAGTTATTTTTAATTTTTTTTTAAAAAAAAAAACTTGTTAAATTGCATTTTTGTACAAACTTTTTTGGTGATTGGATAAAAAATTGTACTTCCTATTCTTTAGAAATAATGACTGGCATTATGTTGCTGTACCTGTCAAATTTAACCCTCTGGGCTAAGACCTTAGGCCTGCAATTATTTCCCTGCTGTTTGCATGGTAATCCCTTCCATCAGAATGTGAGAAACATGTACGAATGGCTATTTAGTTAAGTGTAATATGATCATGCATTATCCTATTGGATTATTAATGGACAACAAACATTGTCTTTTGGAAGATTTGCTTGAACTACAGTATGGTTTTGGTTCTGATATATATTTAAATTTGCCAGCCTTTATATGCTAGCTATAGCAAAAACACTAATTTATATTGATTATATACCTTTCTGAAAATGTGAAACTTAGTTTGGTAATATACAGTATCACAAATATAACATGAGATCCATAGTTTAAGCTTTTTTCCTGTTTTATAAAAATGAAAGCAATTAAGTTTTATGCAAACTTTAGACAGGGAACAAGATGTTATAACTCAAAACTATTCGCAAATTAGTGAAAATAGCTACTTCCTTCCTTGCCATTTCTGACAGCTGTTTGTCATGGTCATTACCTTTCATTGCAAGAACAAGTAGTTTTTCTATGATAACAATTTCCCTATCTGAATAAGGTTCATGTTTCCTTGCCTATTATGGGAACTGGCTTTCCCCCCTTTTCATGTGACTAATCATTCAAATTTTGTTATTATCCTAAACCCTAAACTTAAAACACATTTAGAAATTTAAAAAAATCTACTTCTTATAATCAGTTTTTGATAATGGAATATTTAATAAATGAGGTGTTTTTATTTTCTGAATTCCATTATTCTTTGTTCTGAAACATCTATGAAAATGTCTTGATCATCACTACCCTGTGGGTAAACAAGGTAAGAACGGTAAGAGGAAGGAAAATCTCCCCTCCCCATTTTCAAGCCGTTCGCAAAAATGCCTCATTCCGAACCTTCAATCCTGCAATCCTGGAATAGGCTGAAGGCTCAAAATGGAACGTTTTTACAAACCGTTTGAACATATGGAGGGGGATATTCCCGCCTCTACACCTGTTCTGAAGGTCACAGACTGAAAACAGGATAAGAGACAAAATCCTCCCTCCTGCATTCCTTCAATCCTGCAATCCTGGATAATGTGAAGGCTTGAAATGTGGCATTTTTCAAACCTCTTGAAAATGGGGAGGGGGGATTTCATCTCTTATCCTGTTCTCAGTCTGTAATGACCTTCAGAACAGGGGGAGAGGAAGGAATATCCCCCTCCCCATTTTCAAGCCGTTTGCAAAAATGCCCCATTTCAAGCCTTCAATGTGAGTATGCAGGTGAGAAGCAACCTCCTGTAGGCATTAAAATCCATACACTGGGGACGTCGGAAGAAGCCCTGCAAGGAGACACTGTGCCAAAGTGCAGGAAATCCTCCCCCCAACCTGCAGATCGTCCTTTCAAAGAGGAGTTTCACCAGGACGAAGAGGTGGCTGAAGGCAGCGTTTGTGTTGCCTTCATCCTGGTGAAATTCCTCTTTGAAAGGACGATCTGCAAGGGGGGCGGGAGAGTTCCTGCACTTCGGCAGCAGTGTCTCCTCGCATGGTTTCTTCCGATGTCCCAGGTATGTTGATTTCTGTCCCTTCGTTTCCTGTTCCATGGACGGAATTGCGAGCTGTGACTGTCACCGTTAGGCAAGGAGGGCATGAGGCATTTGGGTTGTGTTGCTTGGCCTCCGGCTTCTTTTGCAGCTGCAATTGTCTGCAAAAGCAACCGGAGTTTGTTGGAGGCAGAGGCCTGAGCGGCACCCGCGAATCAGCTGTTTTGTGAACAGAGCGGCCCAACTGATCTGATTAAGGGACCAAGGAGCCCTGAGGTGACCGGAGAAGCGAAGGACTTCCCCCTGTTCTGACTAAACCCACCCCTTCACTAGGGCTTATTTTCAGGGGAGGGTTTATATTTTTGCCCACCGCGAAAATCTGGCATGGTCTTAGTTTCAGGACATGTTGTATTTTCAGGGGAACACGCTACTCAGTACGTCCCTCCATATCTTTCTGTTATTTCGAACTGTCCTCCCTTCTACTACATGGACATACTCCTTCAAATATGGTCTTTTGTCCTTCAAACTTCTCTTTCACCAGCTCTCTTCAACCATAACTTTCTCAGGCTTCCCCTTCCTCTTCACTCATTGATTCCTCTTTTATGCATTTGTTTTGCAATCTGATCTACATTCGTTCTCTCTATTTGACCACACCACTTCAATGTATTTCTTTCGTCCTGGCCCCTCATTTTTGTATTCACCTCACATTCAGTCAGCACCTAATAATTTCAATCCTTTATCAACTTGTGTTAACACAGATTTAAATACTCAGTTCCCACTGTATTATTCAGTTGATTTTATGTTTCTTCTGAAAAACACAGTTCTCACTTCCCTGTAGTTAAAAGGGGCACAATATACAACCATTTTTCCCCAACAAAAATTCATTCTTTGAACCACCAATGCACCACCCACTACTTATCTTAACATTTGTCCATCTGTCACCCTGTCTTTAATAAACATTCTACCAAGGTACACTAAATTATCTATTTGCTCTGGGGTTTGTCCGTAATAAACCAATGGCAATCCTCAATTCCTCTGAAACCCACCATAACACTCAGTTTGATTTTTAGTGGAAAATGTACATCGAGCTTTCCAAATTTTGCTTATTGTTACCCTTTTCACCCTTTTGATTATAATTCTGTGAAACACACCATCCCAAGCACACATTAAATCAACCCCTTTCTAATTTCTCCATTTGGTTTTGTGCCTTTCCCATTGCATAGGGAAATAGAACAGTATTCTTTATATTATCAGGCACAATATATATAATATATATAATACATATATATTAAATGTACACAATCATTCCCATAAGCAAACCCCATTAACAGTTTCTGTATGTGATTTGAATTGCGACCGCATTATTTTTTAACAATGACATCCAGTATTTTACTGAATATTAACATGGCATTTAATTCAGTTCCATTCCATGAGATATCACTATCATTCCCTTATAATCTCTAAAATATTCTTTCAAACATTCCCAACTTTAATTTCTTTAAATAAATAAATTGACAAGGGAGCCAGCTCTTCCCAGGTTACAGCAATGTAGATCAAGTTCTTTCCAAGGTGATCAAAGGAGTGGCCAAGTATCTATTAATTCAGGAAGGAAATCCAGAAAACAAATCTAGAATTTAAAACTTTACACAGGCTCTGATTCCTGTATGCAGCTGCAAGCCATTTTTTGTCTATATATCAGTGGTGGGTTCCTACCAGTTTGGACCGGTTTGGCCAAACTGGTAGTGATTTAGCGGCCTAGGTCACTGGAACCAGTTGAGGAGTGTGGCAGACCATAGGTGCCGCCCTCTTGTTTTTCAGTTCTGCGCATGTGTAGAATAATTTTAATTGTATCGTGCATGCACGAGCAGTGCACATTAAGTGTGCATGTGCAGCACACACACGAGCGAACCGGCAGTAGTGCCTCCGGAACTCACCCCTGCTATATATGACACCTTTCCTGGCTGTAAAAAAGATATACGCATTATCTAACCATTGTGAGTCTTCTATTGAGTAAGTTCAAAGCTTGAATATGGAACTATGATTTACATCTGGGCCAAGGATGAAGTATGATCTTTGGATTTGCCTGCCTCTAACTATTAATGGAAGGAGATCCTTCATCTATACTAGACTAAAGATTACATTGTGGCTACAAATATTTTGCAACCTGCTAAATGTCAGTTATGATACCAGTGTCCTGCTTCAGTATTAGAGCTAGACCTTGAATCAAATGGAGGCATTTTTCAGCTAACAAGAATAGATTTCTAAGAGTGTAGATTCTCAGATATATGTTTATTGTAGAAAAGTCATGAAGCCATTACTAAATAACTCTCTGGCAACTGTTGTGTATCAAAAGTTTACAGTAAAGAAAATCAGTGTTCAAAATATTCTATTTTTCTCAAAATATTTTCAAAATGAGTTATTAGAAGTGTTCTCAGACTTCTTTGATCAAACAGCTTTCTGATATCTGTTAAGATCTTTTCATTCCTTAAAGAATTGAATTCTTTTTTCTTCTCACACAGAAGCCTAAGCATCTTTGCACATATGAAATGCGGTGCTTGTGTAGATTCTCCTTAAACATTTTTGAACTGGGCATAACTAGAAAATACACTTGGATGTTTCTTCCCCCAAATAGAAAACAAACCATTATATTTTAATCCTATCAAGCTCTTGGAGCAAAACCGGTAACTTCAAAGTTACATTGAGTTCCTGCAATTCTTCTGGTTGTCTTTCTAGAAGACAGCTACAATTCCAGAAGAATTTTGTTGCATACAGCTCTCAAAGGCTCACCACCTCTGATACACACTACATAAACATGACAAACTAAATAGATAGATAAGTGGATGGATGGATGGATGGATGGATGGATGGATGGAGAGAGAGAGAGAGAGAGAGAGAGAGAGAGAGAGAGAGAGAGAAGATTATTCATATGCCCACATACCCACATATATTATATGACACAGAGAAACAACACAGTCTAGTTTGGATATTTACATGTACATAGTGAGAAAAAACAAATCTTGGGAGTTTACCAGAGGGAACAAAGCTGTTAGAAAGTGATGAATAGAATCTGAAAAAGATTAGCACCCATTTGCCTACAGAATAAGCTGCTGAGATCCTCGACTTTTGAGATAATGTGTCTGTTTTTGGGGGGATTAATATGCCCAGTTCTGGTCTTCTCCAGTAGAGGGAGTGCTTCCATTAACTCTGGACAGATGTTTCTTCCTTGAGCTGGCTTAGTATGTGGAGAACATATATTTTTAAGTACAGAATTTAATCCTGTAGGTGAAATATAGATAACTATATGGTGAACCAGCATTTACTAGGCTATCAGCCTCATAGGATTTTATTTTTTAACATAGGTTCAATTATATTTGTAGAAAAAAATTCTTCAATTGATGTAAACTATGCAGCATTTATTCTACTTGAAGCATAGTAACTTACTCATTCTTCTAAATAAAATATCTAGTTAAACTTCTGTTGGTTTTAAAAGTGCTCCATAGAGACTAAAAATACTGCCTCTCTGTGTTTCAGGCTGTTCTTGAGCACTTTTACTCTTGCAGTTTCAGCGGGTGCCGTGCTCCTCTTACCTTTTTCAATAATCAGCAATGAGATTCTGCTTTCTTTTCCACAAAGTTACTATATCCAGTGGTTGAATGGTTCTCTAATTCATGGTTAGTATAATGTCATGTAATATTACTGTTTTAATATGTAATATGTTATAGCTTGTGATTGCTTTTAAAGGTTAGGTATAGGTAATCCTCAGTTTACAACAAAGTTATAGCGGCACTGAAAAAGTGACTTATGAACTGTCCTCACATTTATGACCATTGCAGCACCCTCCTACCACGATCAAAATTTGGCCACGTGGCACCAGTATACACTTCTGAGAGTTGCAAGGTGGTCTGTGGTCCATTTGATCACCATATGTGGCTTTCCTGGCTGCTTTACAACATGCAAATCAATGGGGGAAGCTAGATTTGATTAATGACAACATGAGTCACTTAACAACTGCAATTATTCGCTTAAGAGCTGTGGCAAAAAAAATCATAAAATTGGGGGAAACTCATTTAACAATCATCTTTCTTAATTCTGGCCCAACTGTCATCGTAAGTTGAGGACTACCTATATATGCTTCTTATCAGGCAGGCACGGAAGACAATTGTGAAAATAAAGTAGACTAGAAACACATGGCACTTGGAGGATGTTTAATAAATGAATGTTGTGTGGGATCTGATTATTTTAATAGAATTTGGAAGCTGTATCAGGAAATTGTTTGTGAATTTTCTTAATAGCCAATAATATAGTTAGCATCTTGAAATACTGAAAATGAACATTATATAAAGTTTGAATACAGGAGTACTTTGGTATTCATTGTTAATTGGTTATGAAATAACTGATACAGCAATTATTCTACTTGGAATTGTTTTCAAAATCTTAAGGAATGTTTAAACCTAGTGTACATGAGTTTGAACTTGTAGAATTTAAACAAAATCATATTGTAATGATTGTGCCATTTCTATATAATCATTTTGAAGCCCAGTATGTGTGTTGTTTTAAAGTAACGATAAAATGGAAAGACCTCACACCATAAATAGGTTCAGCTTTAAATCTCAGTATACAAAACAAAGGGGGGAAAGGGAAGAGATTAAAAAGCCCTGAAATTCTAAAAATACATTTGCCAAATATTAATGTTTCTTTTTCTATTTCATGTGTGTCCAGCAGATGGAGATAGAATATAGTACAAATTGCCCATGGACGTATACCTTTTCATTCCTCAAAGTATTGTAGGCAAGGCTGAGGCTTTATCAGAGCTGGTGAAATGTTTAATTTCACTTTTTCTTAGTAAGAAATATTTTAATCTGATATTGCATCAGACAGAAGCTGGCCAGAATTTTGTGCTTATTGATAAAATCCCAGATATACTGTAGTTTTCTCATTAGACTGATTTATATTTTCTCTAATACATTCAACAACCCTTATCTCATTTTTTCCCATCATTGTGTTACACATTCTTTTGATGTTAAATAACTATCTTCAGAAGATTGTTATAGTGGTTCAAAGATAGGTATGTAAATCAGTGTCCAGATTTATGAATGTATCAGACATAGTATAAACCAGATTACTCATGCAGGATATTCTCTGAAGGATTTTTTTCATGCATAGTTTTTGCCTAAACTGCTTGTGTCACAATCTTATTTAGAACTTTAAATGACTCACCAGTAGTAACTTTCAAATAATCAGGCAATGTTTGATAGATGATAGAAAGATTAACATTTGCATTTGCCATTCAGTCTGATACATAATATCCTTTTAAAATTATTTGGGAGTATGGGAATGTAAAAGAGGCAGCTGCTTTGTCTTTAACGCAACTCCTTAAAATAGCTTGCATTTGCTTTTGGAAACCTGGAAAGACTTGCACCAATTTTGAAACACCTTGAAACACCCCATGAAGCATACATAGCTCTAATATCTAGAATCTTAAATCTTCAGAGCAGTGAATATGTCAGGTCAGAAGAAATTCTGTGATTCTGCTGCTAACATATTATGAAAGCTCGTAATCACCAAGCACGTCTGGTCAGCATTTGAGAATGCATTTTAATTTATGGATAAATACTTTACATGGGAAAATACAGCTACAGAACTAGAAAGACCATCTAAAATTGCTGTGTTTACATCTTAAAAGATTGTCAAGAGAAAAAAAATAAAAGTAATTTTTTTCTGAGATATGTTTAAAATTCTACTGTATTTGAGGAACAATATATTGACATTTTTCTTTTTTTGTTTTGTTTAGGTTTATGGAACCTTGCTTCTCTCTTTTCTAATCTTTGTTTGTTTATATTGATGCCCTTTGCTTTCTTCTTTCTGGAGTCAGAAGGCTTTGCTGGCTTAAAAAAGGTGCGTAGCTATTATATATTCAGTGAATTGGATATCAGAAATACCCTGTGATGGTGTGTGGGGGGGTACTTGCTGCTTTCTTGGTTGTTTTCTTACAGATGCTTTGTCACAGTATTGGTAACATCATCATCATCATGTCAATATCTGTAGAGATTCTCAGTCACCCAGGCCATGGTTGTCCCAAAGGTGCTTTTTCAAGAGGCAACTGGCCTTTTTTGTTTTTCTTTGAAGGTGTTTCACTTCTCATCCAAGAAGCTTCTTCAGCTCTGACTTGGATGGTGAGAAACAGAAGGATTTATATTTCTTGCAGACGACTTGTATTCTTTTAGAGAGTCACTGAGGCCACTTGGAGGTTTAGCTATGTCCTCAGGGTCACCTAAGTAATGCAAATGGGTGTGGAACCTTCTTGGAACTGCTGAAAGGACTTTGTTGTGGAGCTGTGCCTTCTTCAGTATGTTTTCTGCCCTGTGTCGCGTCACTATTGAACACAGGCACAGGCTGTTGGGAATGAGACTGTGTTGTTTGCACCTCAAATTGAAGCATCCTGCAGAAAGCACAGCTCCACAACATACTTTCAGCAGTTCCAAGAAGGCTCCACACCCATTTGCATTACTCGGGTGACCTCTGAAGACACAGACAAATCTTCAAGTGACCTCAATGACTCTCTAAAAGAATACCAATGACCAGCTGTCTGCAAGGAATATGAATCCTTCCATTCCTCACCATCCTGTCAGAGCGGAAGAAGCTCCGTGGATAAGAAGAGAGACATCTTCAAAGAAAAACCAGGAATAACCATGTCAATAGACACATTGACATAAAAAATAGCTACATACCATGCAAAATAGACAATCAACAAGCCAAAAGAGATACAAAAGACCAAAATACCTTCCCATCAGCAATCAGCATCCAGATGAGCATAGATTTAACTCCAAGATTAGCATCATAACAACAATAAATATCTCAGTCAAAGAAATGCCAATCAAGCCAACAGTAAACAGCTCAACCAAAGAACTTCCAAGATCTTTCCCACCAACACTGATGTGGGGGGTGGGGGGCCCCAGAATATGAACTGACACAAACCTCACTCCTAATTGGTACCGATGATGATACCTAATTTGGGTAATGAAACATCTGCAAGAAAACACCGAAGTTCAGAGAGCACCCCCCCCCCCCTATTTCAACCCTGAGCTACGAATATTTTCCTTTATTGATCCCATATGATCACTGGCAAAGCTTTATTTAAAAAAGGGAAGGATCTTAAAAATCTGTGCTAAAGGTACTATGTTTAAGCTAAATGTAATAGATTTGGACCTTAACAATACAGGTAGTCCTCAATGTATGACCACAATTGGGACCAGAATTTCTGTTGCTAAGAAAGACAGCTGTTAAGTGAGATGTCAAAGTTTATGACTTTTTTGGCATGGTTATTAAGGGAAGCACTGCAGTTGTTAAATGAATCACACAGTTGCTAAGTAAATCTGCCTTCTCCTGCTGACTTTGTTTGTGGGAAGCTTGAGTGGGAAGATCACAAGTGGCTGTCATATAACTTTGCAGGCTGAATTTGATCCTATTTTCTTTTTTCCAGCATTCATTTAACCTTGTCAATTAGAGTTTCCTGTTCGATTTTGATAATATATATAATAAACCACGTGATCTGATTTATCCTAGTTCACTGCAAATGTACAGTTTGGTGAGACAGTACACTGTTTGCTTCTTACCTTTTTACTCTATTCAAGTAGATAAAAATAATCAAGAAGTCTTATTTTATAATTTCCAAACCAAGATTTCTGATTTAAGTTCGTAATCAGTCTGGTACTCATAAAGCAACAATAAATCTCAGCAGCACACATTTATTCTACTGTTTTTGAAATGTTTGATTTTCTGTAGAAGTTTTCAGTTACATCAAGAAATCAAACAATTTGGCAACTAGCCTGAAAAAAATCTGGGAGAAATCTAATGTGGACTCAAATTCTCTATACTGTTAAAGCACGAATCATAGCAAAAACAGCAGGAGATATGAATGGGAGGTCTTCAGATATGTTTTCTTATTTATCCTTTATCCTTGCCAATAGAAATGATTTTTATTCCTTTCATGAAAGGGTTTCTCAAGAACACGAGAGCCATGCTGAATATCTTTAAAAACACATTTAGTTCACTCTAAAATTCTGATAGCCATTATACTAAAGCCCACAAATAGGACATGAATGGAATGTAATCTTTCTAATCATGTTCTCCCAATAACTGGGAGCCAGGCAATTAATAGTACAGGTAATATAAGGAGACTTTGGTAGTAAGTACATGCGCAGCTATGCAGGGTAGGTAGATGCAAATCCCTATATCTGAAGTTGGACTCTAGGGAAAAGTTGGATGCACTAATTGGTGTACAGGTAGTCCTCGACTTATGACCACTAGTGAGCCCAAAATTTATGTTGCTAAGCAAGACAATTAAGTGAGTTTTGTCTCATTTTATGACCTTTCTTGCCATAGTTACGTGAATCACTGCAGTTGTTAAGTTAGTAACACGGTTGTTAAGTGAATCTTGCCTTTCAGAGCCAAGGTGGCGCAGCGGTTAAATGCAGCACTGCAGGCTACTTCAGCTGACTGCAGTTCTGCAGTTCAACTGTTCAAATCTCACCGGCTCAGGGTTGACTCAGCCTTCCATCCTTCCGAGGTGGGTAAAATGAGGACCCGGATTGTTGGGGGCAATATGCTAACTCTGTAAACCGCTTAGAGAGGNTTTTCAAAGATGAGTTGTTTAAAATCCAAGATGTTTTATATTATATTTTTGTGGGGTACTTTTTTCTATTTTTATTTTATTCAAATATTTTTATTCAAATAAAATAAAACTTCAAATACAAAACTTTATTTTTTTCTTTAAAAAAGGCAAAAAAAGATTAAGAACAAGATATTTTTAAAAGTACATTAAAAAACACATATACATTATTCCCCTCCCCCCGTTGAATACTGATTAATATATTACAAGAATATTTTTGTGACATACTTTTTAATTAAAAATCCAGGGAACTGACCTGATGTTGCATATCAACTGATCTAACTACTGTACCATTGCATGGTGAATTTAAAATAGATCCTTCCACGTTCAAGAAGATAAAAAGCTTCAATAAACAAATGAAGTTAATTCTGTCATCAAGCTAATGTGAACTGATTTTTCAATACCTTCTTTGGCACTAATTTTTTGCATTTGAAAACTGAGGTGAACAAATTTATTTGTCCCACCACAGGGGAAACTGCCTTCATCTTATTAGTGACTAATATACAATAACAATTTAATCTATCATTTTATCTTTTTCCTGGAACTATTTTATGGAATATGCTGTTAGACAGTTTATTGGTTTGGTAAAAATGTAAATTAGATGTAAAGTATAAGGCTTAATCGTAATTATAGCTGTGTATTTAATATGCTAACTCAACTTCTTCAATAAGATCTGAGGTATTTAGCTTTAAAAAAACTTGTAATTTTGGATAGTGAATCAAAGATGATAGATAATATGTGTGTTTGTCTACAGTTTGTACACCAGTAGGACTTTCCCGTATGTTTACAGTGATGGGACAATTGCTTGTAAAGCCAACAGTAAGTACAGTTAATGTTAAAATTATTATCTAACATATGGCCCTAAGTCCTTTAGGGCAGTGGTCTCCAACCCTTTTGGCTCCATGGACCAGCAGTGGCGATGTTGGCAATGGAGGGGGAGGGGATAGTTTTGCATGTGCAACCTAGCTCCTGGGCATGTACAAATTAAAATTTGCATGCTCACCTATCGCTTGTGTGGCCCGGTTTACGCAACATACAGAGTGAAATTGCAGATATTATAGCAAAGTGGTTTTTAAAAAGAACTTTTTTTTTTTTTAAAATCCTTCCTGTTTAGTTTGATTGCTTTAACTTTGAATGAGCCCTGTTTAAACATGGAAGCTTGAAACTTTACACAAATGAAGATCAATGCACATTGATCATATGTGTGTGTGTGTATGTGTATGTGTGTATGTGTATGTGTGTATGTATGTATATGTATGTATGTATGTGTGTGTGTATATATATATATATGTGTGTGTGTGTGTGTGTGTATGTATGTATGTATGTGTGTGTGTATATATATATATATATATATATANGGTTGACTCAGCCTTCCATCCTTCCGAGGTGGGTAAAATGAGGACCCGGATTGTTGGGGGCAATATGCTAACTCTGTAAACCGCTTAGAGAGGACTGAAAGCCCTATGAAGCGGTATATAAGTCTAACTGCTATTGCTATTTCCCATTGACTTTGCTTGTCAAAAGATTGCAGAAGGAGATCACATGACTCCAGGCCACTGCAACCATCATAAATATGAGTCAGTTGCCAAGCGCCTGAATTTTGATCATGTGACCATGGGGATGCTGCAACCGTCATAAGTGTGAAAAACAGTTATAAGCCACTTTTTTCTGTGCTATAGTAACTAAACATTCACCAAACAAATGATTGTAAGTTGAGGACTACATGTATTGGCTGTCCTGTAGCTCAGGGGTCCCCAATTTGTGTGCAGTGGCCCACTAGTGGGCCATGAGAGATTTTCAGCTGGGCCACGGGAACAGCTGGTAAGCATGGCTCCTTACCCCCCTTCCTTTCCCCGCAGTTCACAAAGCCAGAAACTTTGGATATCTCTGCTATTCGGGGCATTTCAATCTTGCTTTTTGGTGATGGATTTGTGAGTTTTTAAATGCTAATTAATGGTGTTCATTCATTATAACATAAGATTCTTCTAGTGCCTCATATCGATCCCTCCTGCCAATTTTTTAATATATTTTTTGAATATAACATCAAGATTCAGATATAGGAATTGGTTACTCATCATGGATAGGTGTAGTATTTGCTTGAGAAATCAAATTGAATATGGTTCCCTCTAGGATTTTAGTCAAAATATTCTGTTAATTCAAGTTGAATATTTTTGGCCTAAGGGGGTTGGTTTAACTTGCACTTTTGAAAAAAGAGATTTAATTGTGTCCCCCCCGCCCCCCAACCACTTAGAAAAAAGTGTTGCTTTTACAGTGTTGCTTCAGTACTCAACTCATCATTAATTGGTTCCAGGAGGTGCAATGAGTACCAAAAATAATGAGTACCAAATTTTTCCCCCCATAAGGTGTAATGTAGTGAGTCACAAGGCAGCCAACACTGACAAAATCGATACATTGAATACCAAACAAACAATGACTACTGGACAAAATTTTCACCTCAAAATATGTACAAATTTGATGAGTTTCAAAGCAGTTGAGTACCACGGTACCACTATAGTTCTATTTGACCAATTGTGTCTACCGTGTAAAAAGACGGTGACATGGGGCTTTGAAGCAGAAGGTTCTTTCCTAAGCAGAAAGTATCTTCTGTAGATGGAAGAGTTTTATCACTTATACTAGGTTATTTGGCAAAAAAAGAAGAAGTCGAAGCAGATTTCTTCTGCCTATACAAATGGAAGCATAAGAATTCTAAATAAATCTAAGAGTTGTATGATGGGAACACTTGGGAAATTCTTATGAAAGTAATTTTAGAACTGTGTTGCGTCATGCATCCAGATATATCAGGGTTTGGTACCCAGTGCAGAAAATCTGTGGATTGAGAGCTTAATCAAGAACATCAAAAGAGAATGCTTGATAGCAATTTTTAAAATTAATTACCCTGTTTCCCTGAAAATAGGACCTCCATGGATAATAAGCCCAATTGGGCTTTTGAGCCCATGTGTTAAAATAATCCCTCCCCCAAAATATTGCAACACAGCAGCAGCCATGAGGTGACCATGTTCAGGTGACCAGATTGCTTGCTTTTCGCCATTGACGATCCATAAATTGCTGGAAATAAAGGATTAAGGATGTGCTGCTTAGCGTTAATGGCACATAGATGTTCGTGATAGAGCACTGTGAATGAAAAGAAATCAGATATTGAAGAAACAAAAAGGAAGAATCCTGCTTGTAGTTTTTAAAAGAAATTTAGCTTGCACAATATTTTGATCTTAATATTTGTTACCAAAAGATTCAGCAGTATTTCACCAGGTGCTGCATCTCAACTAAGCCTATCACTGGTATATTTTCTACATTGAATTCTCAGGATATTTTTTGTTTAAAAATAGCAATAGCAACTGCCTCATTTTGCAGCAGTTGCCAGCCCACTTCTTCTGTGGCTGCTTGCTGCCGCTCATGTGCAGCACCTCCTGGACTCTGTTTCGCTGTCAGAGGCCTGTACAGCTGATAAATTAGATCTGGATTGATGCGCATGGCACCCCCTGGCCTTTGTTTCACTGTCAGAAGCCTTTGGAAAGGCCTCTGATGGTGAAATGGAGGTCGGGGAGCGCCATGTGCAAGCAGTGGCAAGCATCCACACAAGAAGTGAGCTGGCAAGGTGAGACGGGTGTTGGGTGTGGGAACATGTTGATGTTGTATCTTCACTCCACTGGCTGCAACTGACCTAAGGTAAGGGGGTGTGGGGCACGTAGGGCAGCTCCACACCCCATCCCCACCCTAGCTTGATTGTTACCTGTGCACCTCACCCCACCTCGTGCAATTAGGTGCAACAGAGTGGAGGGTGTCTTAACTAGAGCTTATTTGGGAGTGGGGTAGGGCTTATGTTGGGCACATGTAAAATCAAGCTAGGTTTTATTTTTGGAATAAGCGTTACTTTGGGGGCAAAACTCATTTAAAAAATGTTGCACTTAGCAACATAAATTTCAACCATGGTAGTGGAGTGGTTAGAATGCAGTTTTGCAGGCTACTTCTGTTGACTGCCGGCTGACTGCAGTTTGGCAGTTCAAATCTCACCAGGCTCAAAGTTGACTCAGTTTTCCATCCTTCCACGGTTGGTAAAATTTGGACCCAGATTGTTGAGGGCCATGTGCTGACTCTGTAAAACGGTTTAGAGAGGGCTATAAAGCACTACGAAGCGGTATATAAGTCTGTTATTGCTATTTCTATAAATTTGGGCTCAATTATAATCTCAACTTGAGGACCACTTGTACTTAACAAGTTGATTTGGAGCCCTTCTGTTAGCATTTTGGCACCATAAACTTTGGACTGGGAGTTCTGATGTGAGTTGGTTGTCTTTTGTTCTATAACAACACATCTCTTCAACTAACCAGAACTAGAAACAGTGTTACCTTGGCATCGTTTATGCACCTCTGCTAATGTACAGTGGGAATAGAAGTTGAGGTTATGTGGGTGATTCTTTTATATATAAAAAAGAATTTTTTGGATTTTGTAATGGCTTTTTTGCATGATACTATTATATGGATCGGATAACTTTTTTAAAGCATTGTTATAAGAAAATTTGTAACTGAAGTTGTCATAGTGTACATATTAATTCTCAGAGTAATTTGCTATTATAGGGAAAAAACTTTATTATTATTATTTGTTTGAAATTCAAAGTATTGCTTGCTGATATAGCTGTCAAATTGAATGTCTTAATGAAAAAAAGCCTTTGCGAAACTAATATGATTAACTTCAATGAAAATAAATAGAAATAGTACAGATGATACGTATTAAGGATTGTAACATATTTTTTTCTCCAAGGTATTTCAATTTTAGTTTAGTTTCTCAAAAATGCACATTGAAAGTGAGTATCAATATATTATATGTCTATGTTTGTGTCTATTTCTTGTTTACTATGTGTATTTTTTTTAAAATAGGGAATCAAAGCACGTATTTTGGAAACTCTTGTTATGCTCATTCTTCTTGCGTTGCTTATTCTTGGAATTGTATGGGTAGCTTCAGCTCTCATAGACAATGATGCTGCAAGTATGGAGTCCTTATATGGTAAGAAAATCTTTTCTGTGTTCTGCTTTTCTAAAGAAAGTTAACTGAGTGGCCATTAGACAAAACAAAACTGTTTTTTTTTATAGGCTAACTTAAATTCTAAGCTTTTAAAATATTGTTATTTCTTTCCATCTTATGTTTCACTTGGGATTGGATTTGAGCTAATTGCTGCATGGGATACAGTGACTATTTATTTGTTTCTTAATCTCAGAACCGAAAATATCATAAATTGAAAAAATGTAGGAAATGCTAATGAAAAGGTTGTAATCCAGTTGAGGGCAAGGGAAAATGTTTTGGTTTTGGCTAGAAGTTGAGATTAGCTCTTCTGGATGATATGTATTTCTCAGAGAGATTTATTTTCTGATTTTATAAAAAAAATCATTTGAAGTGACAGTGATTGTCTTCAATCAACTATATTTTTATTAACAAGAATGTTGTTGCATATTTGAGGCTGGTAAATAGAATAGATTAACACATTCTTTTTAATACTTTCATATATATTGGATGAAATAATGTACTAAATAAAGTATTTTTTTATTTCAGATCTTTGGGAATTCTACCTCCCTTATTTATATTCCTGTATATCTTTGATGGGGTGTTTACTACTTCTTCGTAAGTTTTTCATACATATATTAGAAATAATATTTGGTGAGACTTTTTGGCCTTCCAATGCAGGTGTCAGACACTTGCTATTTTCTGTGTGAAAATACTTTATTCAGCCTTAGCGCCCTGCAAAGCATTTGAAAGAGGCACTTTTTAACGATTAGCACAGTGAAAACATATCTCTACAACTTGCTGAAAAAACTTTGTCTTTTGGTAGAATTAACTGGTTTGAAGACATCTCCTAGTTATTTGTACGTCTGTTTCCGTGCATTGCCATTTTGTTGGTGGCTGTACGTACAAGTTGGTCAAGGTGCAAATACATGTGGATTGCCAGGGGAAACTTTTGAGACAGTTGAAAAGATCTTCTAAGGATGCGGTTGTTTTAAAATTTCAAAGCGAGATTCTTCGCAGGAACTGCTATACTTCTAAGTATTTGGCCTAGTCTGTAAAACCTGGGTTTTCTAAAATGTATTGCTTTAGCTGTCACTGATAAAAATACTTATATTCTTTTTAAATAGTTAACTCATTACTTCCAGGGTTTCAAAAATTCCTTGGAATATAATGGTGTGAAGCAGCTAATAATTCACCTAGCTTCGTATGATTCATGGTGAGTTTAAACACTCATATCCTTCCTTCAGGCCATAATTATAAACTTGATACCTAAAAATCAATCATAAAATAAATTACACACACACACGTCAGGGTTCCGATGGATGCCACACCACAGTAAAGTTACTTAAAAAAAACTAAATGAAGCCATAAATAAATAAGTAATAAATAAATCAAATGAGGAGGAGGAGTAATATTTAAAATTCGGTTCAGCCCAAATGTATGTTGGACTGGTAGTAATGAAATCCTAAACAATAAAGGAAGCAATATAAATCACCTCAGACAAGAGCCTATGTAGCCTCCAGCTGAAGGCCTCTAGTAAAGTGAAGCCTAACATTTCACTGGATCATTGGTTCCCAATTTTGAACCACTCTTAACCATTCTTATATATTATAGAAATTATTTGGAATGTCTCTTTGTGTAGCTTAAATCTATTATTCTGTCTTTTGGATCAAGAAAGAATAGATTTTAAACCTTTGTAGCAGTATTTCGTAAAATGTAGCCTGAGGCCTCCAAGACCCCCTCAAGAGTCCTGAAAAGTCAAATTTATTTGCCATATATTGAATATATTTGCAAAGATATAAAACAATGTCTCTTCTCATATTTTATTTGTTAAAAAACATGTAGGGTTTTTTTCATGAACAATATTCAAGTTAATATCTATTTTATCTTGTTATTTTTACATGATTCAACATGTTTCTGTGAATGAATCAATTTTAAAATTTAAAATGATAAGTCTCAATAAATGTAATACATATAAACAAAAGCTCTTTGGTGGTCCTCCATAGGTTTTAAAGGTAGGAAATAGTCATGAGAAGAAAAGATTTAAGAAGCACTGTAGCATAATTTTAGGTTTTGCGAAACAGCTTATCCCTGCTCTCATTCCCCTCTTCTAACCTAACCATTCTTGTCTCTTTCCATTTTTTTTAGTCATGTGTGTATTAAGCATTAGACACCAAAATATAACATTATAATACTTACGTCAGTGTATAATACCTAGGTCAGAATAGAGAAATTCTTACTTAATACCAAAACTACGAAAAGCATGAAATAAGAAATATAGAATGTAAGATAGTAGAAACATTAAATGATTTTAGTTTACAACAGTAAGTACATAGAAATATGGAAATTGTCTCTTGTAAGTTATCAACTCCAGGTAGATTTCACACACTATATCACAATAACAGTAACTTCTTATAAATATGGCAGGATTAATAAATGGTCATGTTTGATCTGTGCAAAGTGACATTTTTAGTACAAAGAAAAGAAGAGCACTTTAGATATGTCTGACACTTTCGACAGGTTTGATAGAGTGAACTTGCCCAGGTTCATCATCTGGAAAAAAATTGAATAAAATAAAATTAAAAAACCCTCAAAGGTCAAACTTGATGGACTGCTAGGTCTTTTTCTACTGTCAGTTTTCTATACAATAATACAATAGCACAGTTGGAATGGACCTTGGAGGTCTTCTAGTCCAACCCTGCCTAGGCAGGAAACCCTATACCGTTTCAGACAGATGGCTATCCAACATCCAACATCTTCTTAAAGACTTGCAGTGTGGAGGATTCACAACTTCTGGAGGCAAG